CACATCTAGATAGAATACAATAACATGATAAGCTAGAGGACAACCAAATGGTGGCAACAAAATGTGGACTACAGTAAAATTAGATATTTGTAGCTCAACATTAGTTTGATATTATCATGCTAATAGCTTACAAGTTATGATAATAGCTCAACATTAGTTTGATATTATCATGCTCGCGGAGAAAATAAGAAGTAATTGTCTTCGTCAGAGGATAAAAGATGAATGTAGCTTACAAGTTATGGTGCACAAAAACACACATGCAGAAAGGAACATATCTGAACCTACAGTACAAAGTGAGACAGTAGGTATTGCATCTCCATCAATATTACAAAGAATCATAGTGTTGCCAGGAATGATGTTCAAATTTCGTGTAGCATTTTTTATCAGCAAAAGTCTAACAAATGTTGGCAAGGTGCCATTTGTACTTTGCATGCAAGAAAAATCTGATCCTGACAACCACCGCACAAATCAATAAAAAGTCTTTGATCATATTATCTTACTAACACTTAACACATGTAAAATTAGAAAATAGCTTTCAAAGTGAGGATTCCACATTTCAGACATTTATAATGTTATTATCAAACCCATGTTTATGTAGTATCACTAAGAAGGTTGCCTTAAAATTATTAAGGTAGAAACAATTGTACATCCTTAGATGTCAACTCTCAACAGCGCACTTCAAGAAATATGAATATGCTTTCAACACCTGCTGGTATATACAAGGTATAAGATGCAATGTAGTGAAATGCATGGACAAGCTCAAGTACTCCATTATTAAGAAAATGTTCTTTTAGCTTTCCTAACACAAGAGAATGACAATCAATTCTTCCACCCATGACATATCTACTCCTCTTATCGCTCCCACCTTCAATTAATAACACTCAATCCACCACATTCATGCAAACTCCAATTTGCAATAACTGGGATTTTTAGCAAACACCAGCTTAAAAACCTTAAAGAATGTCTCTTTGATATCAAAACTAAGTTTCTTATACAAAGCTTATAGTCTATTGGAAAATTGTAATGTGTCTGCTAACCTACTGCGAATTCTAGAATCTCTGTACAAACAACTAACATCCAAAAGACCACGGCCTAAGCCTTATACTCATTGGGATCAGTTGGAAACCTTCTACACTAGAGGTAAACAACCAAAACCAAAGGGAACCGAGCAAAATCCATACCCATATTTATCTGTCTGTAAGAAATTGCGGGGCACGACGAAGCCACACCCGAGATCTGGCGCCCCAACCCCATGAGAAGCCGACGCTAGGATCTTGGAGGCTTCATGGCCCCCCTCCTCCTCCTCCTCTTGCTCCACCATGGAGGCCTCCTCTTGCTCCACCATGGAGGATCGCGAGTCGAGGGCTAGGTTTCCGAGGACCGCCACGGCCTGGACAAGCCGGAATCGGCATTTCCATCTCATGGCGCAAAGGCCAGATGACGAGCGGCGGCGGAGGAGAGTCGAGGCCGGAGCGGGCAGTGGCGGTGGCAGCGGCCGGGCGGGCTGCACGCGGGTGGCTCGAGCGAAGCGAGCGGCGGGAAGCGCGGCAAGCGCGCGTGATGAAGCGAAAGCGCCGGCAAATTGCGGGAGGGCCGTAGGGCAGCCGGCCTTTTGGCGGAAGGAAGCGAAAGGACGTGCCAACGGGAAGACGCCGACTTCTCGCTCAGCTAGGAGCTTGCAGGGTTTTGGCTTTGGGCGAAAAATTGCAGCGGAGGCACGGCGACGCAAGCAAGCGCATTGCGCGATTTGCGTGAACGGGGCGCGCGCAGGCAGCTGCTGTGCGCTAGCTAAATGCAACTGCGCTATATGGCGACTAATAAACCAGTGGCAGCTATGGCTATTAGCTAGCTACGGGCCAACAACGGGAGGGCTAGTAGGGTTCAGCTAACGGACATGGTCTATGTATCTAGTGGAAGGGAGAGCTAGTAAAACAAGTATAAGAGGAGGTGTTGCAGATGGGGTCTTTGCGGGTTGTAATTGCGAGGCTTAGGTCGCCGCACTTAGTCCTACTTGTGAATGGCTTGCACATGAGGGTTGGAAGTCTTTGAGCCACGAGTTATCAAAAATTGCAGACGAGGGTCCACAACAGACCCACGACAAGTCCCTAGTTTTACGTATTAATGGTGTAGTATGCATTATATAAATAGGCTATTAGATTGATTACGACATTAACAACCTCGCCCACTGAATAAATAAATTTCTGCAACTTGATAGCTAATTGTTAGTTAATAATCAACTAGCAGCTATATCACTATTTGGACTAATAAACCAGCTAATAATCAGCTATGAGCTATTAGCTACACTACGCCACCAACACCCATTTAGCAACACATGACCTGCAATGAAAAATTACATAGCTAACAAACTATTAGCACCTAACGGATCCTAACATGGTCTATGTATCTAGTGGATAGTGAACGGATAGAGTACTAGTAAAACAAGTATAATAAGATGGTATAAGCAGATGACTCTTCTCCAACTCTAAATTAGGTGTAATTGAATGACTAATAGGTGGGTCTGATTGCACTTAGTCCTACTTGTGAATGACTCAATTGCACATGACTTGACTTAAAGTTGGAAGGAACCATTTGCGTATAATAACCGAGCCACATGAGTTATCATATCAGATTTGTATTGAGATGGAGAAGAGACGAGGGAAGGAGAAGATAAGCGGGCTAGCTAAGACACAGGTCCTAAGAAATTTTATAAGAAAATGAAATGGACTACGTATTAATGGTGTAGTATGTATCGTTGTTACCATTATATAAATAGGCTATTAGATTGATTACACGGGACATTGCATTAACACAGACTCTCTCTGTCACTGAATAAATAAATTTCTAGCAAGTTTAGGATATATTGGTATTTTTTTTCTCGATCACGCAAAAGGTTTACGCGTCTTTGAATTAAGGTAGAGAAAAGTTCAATATAACATGTCTTAGCAGCGCTCTAAGGTGTCAAAAGAGATTATACATGGACGCTCGGACCCTCCATGGTACCGCAAACTATGTTATTACATGGGACACTGATCAAGGATAGATTAGGGGGTGTTTGGATCCTATGGCAAAACTTTAGTTCTGCACTTTTAGTCCATTTTTTGCCATGGGGATCCAAACAGGTGGGCTAAAAATGAACAAATGGGGTGGACTAAAGTTTTGCCCATTTGCACCTCAAGGGGTGCAAAATTGGGCTAGGAAAAGAAAATCTTGATTTAGGCGGCGCAACTCAAAGATAGGATGACTCTTGAAGATGTCGGTAAAGAAGTACTTGGCATTAGCAATCCACCCAGGCGTCACCGTGCCCTCTCTCCCATGGGGGCAAATTAGTCATTTTTTGGATGGATGACTAAACTTTTGAATCATGAAGATGAAAATCTGCTCAAACAAGCAAAATTAATTCCTAGACTCATGTTTTTGTGTGTGACTGCTAGCCATGGCAAATGAATCCAAATAGGGCCTTAGTATGACAGAAAAAGACCATACTACCCTTCATTTAAGTTGCACACTGGTTGGTGATTTTGCTAGTAGCACACTAATTACAACATTTAGTACACATATCCAACTACAGAGACTCAACACTGGATTGAGATATAAGGGAGTGGAGTAAATGAGAGAAGATGCTGAGGGCCAATTAATCGTTCAGTCCTCTAGAGATTAATTTATTTATATGCCAATTGTTTTTTAGATTACTCATTGAGTTCAACACATATAGGATTCCATGAGTGACAAGAAAGCAAACAGCATTTTCGTTTTGTATTTGACAATTATTGTCCACAAAGGGCACCTTGAGAAAGGGAAGGCTAACTAGGCTCAAGACTTCTTGCTAGCCTCGTAATTTACAATCAAACTATGTTAATTAGTTATTTTTTTATCTACATTTAAAACATGTAGTACTCCAATGCATATGTCCAAAGATTTGATATCTTTCTTCGGCGTGTGCATGTCTTGTTCTTTCTTTAAATATTGCTTGAAGTAGCGATGGACTCGGCGCCCGACGATGATCGAGGCCTTGTAGCTGCATCTGAGTGAGTGAAAAAACTTACAATCTAAACAAGGCCATAAATAAAATCTTGAACTAGTTTATTTATTAAGGGACACCTGCAACCGGCTAGATTAGACACCATTCCAAAATGTCCATACATGGACGGACCGAGGTGTCACAGTTGGTCGGAGATTTCTGAATTTAGCAGCTCACTGCGCATGAACGACCGAAACGGTGACGTCCCACGGAAGATGTCGCGAAAAAGAGAGACGGCTGTGACCAAACATTCGTCCCTTTAACCAAACTGGTCCATCGGCACGCCGCGCGAGCTCCGATAGTCCGATCCACCTACGCCGGCAGCCATGCAGATGCAGGCAGTTCTGGTGCGTGGACGACTGTGCGTGCCCGCAGGCCGCACATGGCACATGCCGCTGGACTGGATAGCACTGCTGCACGTACTACTAGCGTCAGCGACCTGCACTGCACCGCTGCACGTACGGCGTGCGTGAGCGTCAGCGCCTGATCGATGCTTGCTCTTGCGACATCCGACTCGGACCTGCCATTGGCCGATTGGCGCGGTGCAGGGCTGCAGACCGACTTGAGTAGTACTGGCTGTGCCTCCACGACGCCACGGCCACCTGTAGCCCGCTCCATCGGCACCGCACCGCATCAACCGCCGTGCGCGCTCGGTGACCTCTGTCCGCTGACCTGGAGGACGCTAGCGTCCACGGCCACGCAGGCAGCCCCACGGCTGTCTCGCCACGCAGACCCCTCCCATCCGTTGTCCCCTAGCGGCGGATAACGAGCGGCGCAGGCAGCCAGCAGGGACGCATCCAGGCACCGTGACGCAATCGCATCCCGCCGCTCTCATTCCACTTGCACGCCCTATCTGCAGGGCTGCAGGCCAGACTCCAGAGCCCAGAGCAGGCAGGCGGCGGCGCGGCGCCCATATATACCGCCCCGTCCCCGTGCGAGTGAGCGCCTCATCATCACTCATTTAACGCTCCACTTCCACTCCATGGGTCTGCGGGCGGCGATGGGATGTTCGTCCTTGCCGTCCTCCCGTGCGCTGTGGCTCACGACGGCCGTCGTCGCGGCGCTCGCGGCCGCGGCCGGCGCGCAGGCGCAGCTGTCTCTGTCGCCGGGGTTCTACGACGCGACGTGCCCGGGGCTGCAGCCCATCGTGCGCCGCGTCGTGGCGCGGGCCGTCCGGATGGAGCCGCGCATGGGGGCGTCCCTCCTCCGCCTCTTCTTCCACGACTGCTTCGTCAATGTAAGACACGAGGGTCACTTTACTTCATTCACGCCTGTTGGTTTGGTTGGTTGGTGTTGGTCCTGACGTGTGTGTGCCCGTGCGCGTCGGGATCGCAGGGCTGCGACGCCTCCGTCTTGCTGGACGACGTTCCCGGTAGCTTCGTCGGGGAGAAGAACGCGGGGCCCAACGCCAACTCGCTGCGCGGGTTCGAGGTCATCGACGCCATCAAGGCGCAGGTGGAGGCGTCCTGCAAGGCCACCGTCTCCTGCGCCGACATCGTCGCCCTCGCCGCGCGCGACGCCGTCAACCTGGTCAGTGCCCGTGTCGTGCTCCTCTCTGGCTCTCTTTCGAAGCAATCAAACAAACAAACAGCCGAGCGTGACTCTGTGCCACGTTGGCGTGCAGCTCGGCGGGCCGAGGTGGACGGTGCCGCTAGGCCGGCGCGACGCGCGCAACACGAGCGCGGGCGCGGCGAACGCCAACCTCCCACCGCCGGACGCGAGCCTACCGACGCTGCTGTCCATGTTCGGCGCCAAGGGCCTGGACGCGCGGGACCTGACGGCGCTGTCGGGCGCGCACACGGTGGGGCGCGCCCGCTGCGTGGTGTTCCGCTCCCACATCTACAACGACACCGCCACCAACGCCACCTTCGCGGCGGAGCTCCGGGGCACCGTCTGCCCCTACACGGGCGGCGACGCCAACCTGGCGCCGCTGAAGCCGGAGGCGCCCGACACCTTCGACAACGGCTACTTCCGGGACCTGATCACCCGCCGCGTGCTGCTGCGCTCGGACCAGGCGCTGTACGACGGCGGCAACGGCACCACGGACGCGCTCGTGCGCGCCTACGCCGCCAACGGGACGGCCTTCGCGGCCGACTTCGCCGCCGCCATGGTGAGGATGGGCAACCTGGGCCCGCCCGCGGGGAGCGCCGCCGCCGCTGCCGAGGTCCGGCTCAACTGCCGGCGAGTGAACTGATCGAGTTGCTGTGCCGCGCTGCCATTGCATTGATCAGTGGAATTACTTCTTGGTGTACACTTGCTTCGATTCACAGAATGACAGAAGTGCGCGTAGTATGATTGATAAGCATGCATATGAGGTTTGTTCTTGATGTGTTCGCGAGGCCAAGCACGACGCGCGATCGCAAAACCGCCGTGTTCCTGCGCTGGATTTTCGATCCCCTCATGATTCCATCTCGATCGAAAGTGTGCGGGGCCATATGGTCGCGAATTTGCGATGTCAAGGCGCAGGCTTTTTGGGACTGACTGATGCACGGCATCATGCAGTCTGCCAGCTGCACCGATAGACTGGCCCTGATAGTGCAATGGACAGAGGCGGGGACAGCCTGGAGCCCTGGATGGCCGTGCCGGCTTGACATGGCGTCCACGGCAGCGGCTCGTGCCGTGCCGGCGAGCTGGCGAGGGCCCCCCGTGAGGTGGCGTTGTTCGCTAGCGCGACGCTGTAGCGTGGACCACGCCAATACGCCATACGTACATGCCTTCTGCATGTCTCTTGCCGGTGCTGCAGACCTGCAGTGCCCACGTCTCGACGTCTAGTAGGCGCTGTAGCATCACAACCTTCCAAAGGGATCGATCGGCTTGCTAGTTCGACGAGCGCTTCGCATTATTGTCACCCTTGCCATAGTGCGTGCCATGCATGCCAACGCACTAGTACGTCTTGCTTCTGACTGGATCTGAGATAAGAGGCGGCGCCGGCGTATGCGTGGATGCATCGCCTGACGCCTGGTAGGCTGGTGCTCATGGTTTGATCGCCTCTGGTTACTATTACCCTGGTTTTGCAGGTGCACACGGCCCCAGTAGTAACAGCTGTAACGAGGGGTCTCAAGCCTTGTCCTTGAGGATGATATAAAAGGCAGCCTTTTCATTTGTCAGCCATGGCGGCATCCGGCAAGCAGGCACTCCATGATTGAGAGCAGACATGATAACACTCTTTTGCGAGTAGTACTACATGCAGACATGATAAGTCGATAAGTAGGCTCAGGCAGCGCTGAATGATTGGAGAAAGGGAATATAGTTTAGTTGGGCCGGATGAAGCTTGCATAGGTGCAAAAGTCCGTTCAGGGCAACGGTGGGCTACAGCCCAAATAGAAGTATAGGATGGAACCGTAATTGTAATACTGCCTAGCCTAGCCCATGAATATCTATATCTAACTATATCTATATTCTATGATATCTAGTCCCTCAATCCCAAAATACATAACATTTTTACTTTTAGATATCTTGTTTGACTGTTTGTCCTATTCATTTTTTTAATTATGACTTATTTTATCATTAGAGATACTTTAATAATGATTTGTTTATTTTATTATTTGCACAAAAAACCGAATAAGACAAATGGTGAAACGTGATATCTAAAAGTCAAAAGTGTCGTCTATTTTGGGACGAATGGAGTATATCTATATCTATATCTATATATATCTATATCTATATTCTATATAACTAATATTAAAGAGGCAAAATTTCTCTTCATCTATTTTTTTCGTCCATCTCCTCCTAATTCCCGATCAGTGAAGGGTTAGAACAACTCGCGTTTATGGATGATAAATACAGAGTTCGATTCTATATGTAGTGGGGTTCTGTTGCAATGTACGTACGGGCATGTTTGCTAATATATAGAAAATTGAAGCACCATCAATGAATGGGTTCTCATATTCCGCTCATCTTTCAGGCTAGCGTCAGCAAAAGTGATCCAGCAGAACATGCTACTCCATAACCAAGCAGAATATGCTACTCCATAACCATAATGTAAGTGCCCTGGCACTTTTGTCGATGCTCGAAAGTCTCTAGATCTCCTAGTTCGAAGCTGACATTGATCTGAAATCACGACTGACATTACCACTTGACTCAAGTTGAGTCGAGGAGCTTGACGGAGAGAGATAAGAGGGATTTGGGACTGGTGAGTCAACCTGCTATGACTGTGGTTGCCTGACATGCTCCCCCTGACCTCTAAACCGCCTCTTTTGCTCTTTAGCACTGATTGCCCTATCAGTCTTCTCCTCCATTTCATTCATAGGACATGGGATTGTCCCTACGATCACATCCTCTCTTCATTTTCCTCGACATCACTTGGGATTGTCTCAACAATTACCTCTTCGATCCTTCGTTCTCCTGGACATCACTCGGGATTGTTGATTTCTTGAAGTTCATATGCTATTTGGTGGTTTGATCCTTTGACACCAAAAATAGTCATACCATTTGTTGTACTCTAGAGAATTGCCGGGTAACTTTTGTTGCTGACGTATTGTAAGGTCGAGATGGCGGACTAGAGGGGGGTGAATAGTCATTTCTAAAATTAATCGCGTCGGCTAACCGAAACAAGTGTGGAATTATAACAATCGGTCTAGTCAAGACTACGCCCCTCTATTTATGTTCTCTAGCACCTTGCAAAGATTCTATTTAAGCAACTAAGGTGTCGGGCTAGCTAGAGCTCACCTAACCAATTCTATAAGCAAAGTCACACAAACTTATGCCACTAATACTTTAAGCAACGGGGAGCTCCTACATATACTGGTAAGCAAAAGCACCAAGCCAACTAAGCTCACTAGCAATGCTCAATAACAAGGCAACCAATGCCAAATTAGAGAGCGCAAATACTTAGCTACACAAACTAAGCAATGTGACTAACAAGGTTACACAAACCAAATTAGCCACGCAAAGGGAGCTACTTCTATGCTACACAAGCAAGAAGCTAACTAGTAAGCTACACAAGCAAACTAATTATAAGAGCAACTACATAAGCACAATGTATATGAAAGTAACCACAAGCTTGTGTAAGGGGGTTGCAAACCAACGGAAAGAACAAGGTTGACACGGTGATTTTCTCCCGAGGTTCACGTGCTTGCCAACACGCTAGTCCCCGTTATGTCGACCGCTCACTTGGTGGTTCGGCGGCTAATTGGCATAACCTGCTAAGCCCGCACGTCGGGCACCGCAAGAACCTACTCCAAAAGTGAGGGTAGCTCAATGACATGCTTTACTAGAGTTGCTCTTCGCGGCTCTCGTAGGGCGAGCACAATACCCCTCACAAAGCTCTTCGCCGGAGCACCGCACAAGCTTCTTGCGGGCTTCGACGGAGACCACCACCAAGCCATCTAGGAGGTGGTAACCTCCAAGAGTAACAAGCACCACCGGCTTGCAAGACGACCACCTAGTGCCACTCGATGCAACCTCACGATACAATCGCACTAGAATCACTCACTCTCATAATCGTATGATCACTATCAAGCATATGTGAGATGGAAGGCTTCCAAGCACTCACAAGCATGGACACAAAATCCCTCGAGGTACTCAGCTCCAGTCATGGCCGAGACCACCTTCTATTTATAGCCCCACGGGCTAAACTAGCCGTTACCCCTTCGCTGGGCAAAACTCAGGATGACCGGACGCTCCGGTCAGATCGACCGGATGCAGGACCCCAGCATCCAGTCGCCCGATGCTTGCCACGTGTCATCGGCTTCAAATACTGAGCGCTCGATCTCAACGGTTAAGTTGCGATCGAACGCAGCACAGTGAATGACCGGACGCTATTTTGCCTGAGTCCGGCCGTTTCCAGAGAGCTCCCCGAGCCTCTGTTTTGCGACCGGACACGTCCGGTCCACCATGACCGGACGCAGACCAGCATCCGATCAGTTCTGCACCTACGCGCCTAGCTCCAGCGCCGCCTGCGTCACCATACGTTAGCACTGACCGGACGCAGACCCTGAGCGTCCGGTCACTCTTCGTGCTAGCATCCGGTCACAAGACCGAGACCGCGCGCTCGCTGCTGCCACTGACCGGACGTAGGACCCAGCGTCCGATCACTGCGTGACCAGCGTTCGGTGTACTCTGTGAAACCCTATCTTTTCTGTACAGGGCGCCGGTGAAGTTTCGAACCCTTTTGTTTACCGAGTTGATCCACATCAACTCCAACACCTCCTTTGTAAATGTGCGAACACCACCAAGTGTACACCACCATGTGTATGTGTGTTAGCTTTTCACAAACATTTTCCAAAGAATTAGCCACTCAACTTGCCACGCCACTCGATCCTAGCGACGATGCAAAGTTAGATCACTCAAGTGGCACTAGATGACCGATATGCAAACACGTTTGCCCCTCTTGATAGTACGGTCATCTATCCTAAACCCGGTCATCAACTTCTCTACATACCTATGACCGGTGAAATGAAATACTCTAGGTTATACCTTTGCCTTGCGCATTCCATTCTATCTCTTCCAATGTAGGTGCAACACATGCACCAACCCCGATCAACAATGATACGATCCACTTCATATCATCACGTGATCATATTGGTTCATCGATCTTGACTTCACTTGCTTTTCACCTTTGCCTTCGTCCATCGGCGCTAAGTCTTGCTCAAGCTTCACCGCCACGCGGTCCATCGCTCCAAAGCCTCCGACTTGCCCTTCACGCTTGCAACCGGTCCATGAAGCCAAGTCATGTCTTGATCTTCTCCACCTTGATCACATGACTCAATGTCATGTCTCATTTGCAATGAGCTCCTTCATCATCACATGTGTGAGCTTTGCAACATCTCCAAACCATTTTCACCTTCATGGCATATGTTGCTCACACACATGTACCTGTGGACTAATCACCTGTGTATTTCACATAAACACAATTAGTCCACCCAGTTGTCAGTCAATTACCAGAACCACATAAGGACCTTTCACGTATGCTGTTGTTGGTAAGCGCACTACCATGACAAAAATACTGTGGAAGTGGAATTAATTTGTGTAACTAAATGGAGCCAAACGTCATAGAGAGATCTCCATCTGTTTGATCATATTCTTGCATGCGTGTACTTTCTTTTCGCCATGCACTCGTGTTATATTATTATAGGGTGTTGCACAGCGACGGAGCTAGCAGTGGGGCTGGGGGGCTCTAGCCCTTCCTACCGATCCTGAGCACGTGGAGCCCCTAAGCTCTCTCTTAAAATTTTATGCATATATATATTAGGT